GCCCTCGGGCTTTCTCCCTACTCCGGGAGCTCCCTTTCGGATCTGACCCCTTCAGGGTTTACGCGTCCTCCCGGAAACCGTGGGCCGGACCCAGATCGCGCCCTTGAGTGCGGGACTGTAGGTCAGGAGTCGGCTGAATTAGGCGAGAAGTGCTGGGCTGAAAACCTGGTCAGCTGCGGTGGATCCAGTGTGGATCCCTAGGCGGCAAGTCCTCTCTAAACCGAGAGCCTGGCATGAATTCCCGGAGAGTCGCTGCGCTGGCACCGTGGGTCTCCTTTCTGACTCTGTGGGAGTCCGAGGCCTCCACCCAGGAGGCTGAAAACGCAGCTTGAGGCCCAGGACTTTGGCTTTTAGATCTTTCTTGGAAACAGTTAGGCAACTAGAAAAGGGATGACCTTTCATTTCTCCTCCTGGACTCTAAGAATCAGAGTTTATCCCGGTCTAATAAGGAAGTGGTCAACTTCCACTTATCCTGACATTCCCCCTCCCCAAATATAACATGCTCGAAGCTTTTTATTCTTGGCGCCTAAGCCACCACTGGGTGAGCATAGGTAGCTCTCTAACCCCAGGAGACTGCTCCCACCCCCAAGCATCCTGATCCTACCAGGGCACCACCCTCACTCTCAGGCTTTTCCTGCCCCACACCAGGCAGGAAGCCTGATAGGGGCAATAGAAAGAACCAAGATTTAAAACCAGTGGGATGTGGATGAAGAAAGAATTTAATAAGAACCTAGGAAATCCGATTTCCAAAAAACTAACAAATGTGCCTTGTAACTGTCCTCCTCTTCCCTGGCTCAGAGTCCGTCCAGATCCCTGGAGCTGAAGCAGCCTTGGCCCCAACACAGTGCCCAAGGTGAGCAGGGCCTCCTGGCTTTTCGCTTCTTGCAGGGTCAGTGGTCCAAAGACTTGGAGTAAACTTTTGGTCTGTGGTAATGGTCTCCAGACCTGGCTCCACTGGCACAAATGTTTCAAAGCCGGCTGAAGGTTTTGGCTCTCCATGAAGCATGTGCTAACTAGTTATAGATTTTTCACATTATTCAAATATTCAGATATCTGAGAGATCTTATTCTCTTATATCACTATAATTTTTCTGCAAGTTCCCATGCCTCTAATGTGCTGATGGAGATTTCAACTGCCCTTTAGGATCCTGGCTGGAGATAGCTAGGCGTCACCAAATGGTTCCCCCAAGCACTCCTCACCTAGGGACCACCTCACTCTAAGGCAGTGGCTCTGCCAGCTCTTCCATTAGGAGCCACTGTGGTGAGTTCCTTTTTCCCTCAGCCCATAAAAATATACTTTGGGCTGAAGCAGAGACTGAACAAACTAAGGTTTGTAATAAAAAGCATCCTCTGGGTAATAGAAAGCCATATACACCCCTGAAAAAGTGAATCTTTAGGAATGTGGCCCTTACCTGAACCCAGGAAAGGGATTGGTTTATTTATTTGAAAAGTGGGGGTGGGGTAGAATTGAAGTCTGGGCTAAGCTCCTTCAGAGTTAGAAGTTGGTGAGCTATTGGTGGTATTGACTGCTTTCAGAGCTGAGACCTGTTGTTTCTCAGCCCCCAGGTTGGATTTCCCCAATCCTGCCTGCCTCCACAGAAAAAGCTTCGGACCTCTGGCCACTGGCATTTAAGGATGGCCAGGCTATAGGGAGCCCACAGGGAGAAACTGGGGCTGCTAGGTCAGGGCAAAAGGGAATCAAGCCCACATGCCCCACTTCTGCCAGTTAGCCTTTAGGTACCTCCTTTCCTGCTTGCTCCCGGGGTTTATGGGTACAGGGTCTGTTTTCACCTGCTGCCTGTCCTCTGGTTTAACCCCCACAGACTTGCTGTCTACAGAAGCCACCTAAATATGGTTCCTCTTCTCTGATTAGTCAGCAAACAGCTTATGAGCAACTGTCCTGTGGGTCTTCAGTCAGGCTCTGGGGTATCTCTGGATGTAGGTCACAGACCATAAACATGGGGCTACAAAAAGAATATGATTTGGAGAGAAAGGGTGATCGCTTTCCCGCTGTGACGTTTTCATCTGCTTTGCTCAGATGAGAGGACATCCTCCTTCCTCTGGACTAGCCAGAAGGATGCCTGTGGGTCTGGATGCAGAGAGTTAGGGCCTGGACTTAGGTAAGAACACTAAAGTCAGACCACCATTCTCTCACCTCCCTATGGGACAACCTTGTATATCTAAAAAAGCAGTGACAGGAAGACTTCCCCAGGACTCTTGTGAAAATTGAATGGGGCTAAGAACAGGGAGGCGGCTGTCCCTGACTCCAACCTCCACAGGAACATTAGATAAGGGTATAAAAATCTAGGACAGTTGAGGAAGTCCCAGCATCTCACCTCCTGGATCTTGCCTTCTGTGGTTTAAGAAGCCAACTTGGCCAGGCCTCAGGGTCTGATCTCCAGTCAAAGCCCCGACCTCTAACCTTTATTTCTTGCCTCTAAAATAGGATTGTTTGGGGATTCACTGAGCCCGGCTAGAGTGAGGCCTCGCTGTTTGTGGGTACTGCTATCGCCTTTGTCTAGCTCACGCCTTTGCTGCCTCAGCCTCCCCTCCTCCAATTACCACTTCCCTGGGGGGGTAGGGGTGTGAGGGTGTGTCTCTGGGGGAGCGCGACCTCTTGCCCTTGGAGATCTGAGGATGCAAGGTCACACATTCTCATAGTAAACCACTCCAAAGTCTAGTAGGGTGTGTGGGGGCTGGAATAAGAAATGGCTTGATCCTCTTGCTCCTCCACCCAAGCACAGGCTGCGGAGGCCTAGTCTCAGCCAGTCACCCCAACAGCGTTTCCAACCGCAGTCCCTGCTCAGCGGCGGGCTCTGGTATCTCCCTTCCAGGGCTAAAAGGGTCTCGTCACTTTGTGCTGGGAGGAGTTTGGGGCTGGGTACCGCCTTGCTGATCCAGTAGAACCCATAGTTTGCACCTCTCTGGACACCACGATCCGTGTACATTATCAGGGGTCTCGGACTTCTCCAGCGCACAGGAGTTCTTCTCAGTCCTGGAATCTTTCTGTTCTCTTCGGGGTCCCTGGAAAATTCGCCCTTCTAGCGACTCTGGTTCACATCAACCAGGGATCAGGTGTGAAGGGGGTGGTAGGTAGAGATTCTCCCCAAGAAAGTCTCCTTGCGGCCGACAGGGGAAAGGACGTGAGACGGCTTCCAGCCTGGCGGGCCAGCTGCGAAGGAGCGTTGTGCGTGCCCTGAAGACCCGGCGGCCCCAGGACTGTATACGTAGGTCCTGAAAGTGCGACATGGAGTCCCAGCAGCCACTGGTACCGAGCCGCGCGCCGCACCCAGAGCCGCCCGGCGCTCCAGGGTCGGTGTCGGGGTCCAGGGCTCTGGAGCGCAGAGGCTGGATCTGCAGCTCCTGCGCTCCATTACTCTCTCCAGGGCCTGCGCCGCGCACGGCCCTGCCTACGGTGACCTAGGCCTGGCCAGCTTCAAACTGAGAGGAGGGAGGGTTGTGAAATCTTCCTCACTCCAAAACGAGTCCATTAAAAATTACCTACGTGATTTCGGGATTCAGTACAGGAAGATCTATAATGCCATGTTGGCATAGGGTGACTTTTTCCTCACCAAACCCTCCGAATCAAATAGTTTAAATCCAAGGAAATAATCCCACAGTCCGTGCGCTTCCTCCCCTCAGAGCTCAGGTGTACGGGTGCGTGCGCGGTTAGCCCGCTGCCTGCAACTGAATTCAACCCAGTCACAGGGACAATTCAGGCCTTAATCCCTTCCCCCTCCACACACCCTGGTTCTGGGTCTTCAGCTTCCCACTTCATTCCTGAGCTGGACCCGAGGCTAGTCCCTCGTCCTAGCTAGCCGTGGGTGTGCAAGGTCCGGGAGGAAACGCCACCCTTTCCTCATCGCTTGTCCTAATCGGGACTCCTCCAGGGAAATCCAATCGCCAAAGTTGGCCCTCTGACCCACGGAAACTACCCTACGTCCTGAAGAGTGCGTTCACAGTGCAATTACGGCCAGGAAGCACCCACAGGTCTCTTGCCTCCGTACATCTGCGGTTTCCAAGAAGCCTCCTCTACAGAACCCAGGGTCACAAGACTGTGAGGGGCGAAGGAGACCCTTTGCACTCCATATCTGCTGCAACTCTAGGTTTACCTGCTTTCCAACTACTCGCTAAACCTCACCCAGTTTTCAGTTTCCAGCCGGAATTCCAAAGGCGACCTTGCTCTCTCCTGCCCTTACCCACCCTATCTACCTCCCACATCTTAGTTCTATGTTGAAGGGGAGAAAAGGTAGCCACCCAGAAAGCGGCAGATATTTAGACTCAGGGCAGTGATTTCCTCTGCGACTGCCATTTAAGCCTAGCCTGGTCCAGGAAACACCCCGAGTCTACAGCGACTGGTAACCAGAGTGGACTGCTACCTATGACAAGGTTCCACTGTGCACCTATATGGGTGTGGAGTCGGTAATGGGCCACTTAACAAAGAGACCGAGGCCTACCAGGGCAGGATGACAGAGCCTTCTAGGACCCAAATGTAAAAATTGAAAGACTTCCCCAAGCCTGAGAATCGGACTCCCAGCAGGTGTCTGCCTGGGTTTCTGGTGCCTCCCTCTGCCTTGGTGTGGGACCTCTAAGTTCCTCTTCCTGTTGGCCTCTTCAGTGCAGAGCAGGAGGATATACAGCAACCGGCTGCCATCACAGTTACTGTCCTACTCCCCCCCCCTGCTGCAGGGCCTTTGGGGAGGCCAGTTTCCTCTCTGGCCTCAATTTCCCCAGATATGAAGGGTTCCTGATGATCCCACGGGTCCTTAAGACTGTGCCATTCATTTTCTGCATCCCAAAGTATTAAATTGGTCTCAAAGGTTTTCTTTACCCAGGGATCCACCTGCTTCAGGCAAATGGGTTCACTCTGTATCTTTTATTTTCAGCCAATAGCTGTAAGCCATCTCAGCGCTCTGGTTGATATCTAGACTTTCTCTGGCTCTAAGACCTCCGTGGGGTCATTGTCCTGACCCCAGCAACTCAGCAGGGCCCTGGCAACCTGGGTGCTTCAAGAACCCAGGTTAAATCAATGAAGGTGTGAGGGGGGGGCGGATTCAAAGCTGCTGAGGGCAAGAGAGTTATTTTGCATGGTGGAGTTCTTCCTAAACGCAACTTCTCTTTGCCCTATGCCCTGAGCTTCCCAACTCCTTAGACCCGGACTGGACTTGAGGGGAGTAGGCATTGCAGCCCAAAGCTTCAGGTCCCAGACATGAGCAGTGGGACAGTGCTTAAGACAGCATGGCTCCCCTTGCTGACTTCAAGAAGTGTAGTAGGAAGGGATTAGGCCACTGCCCCCTTCCCCAAGTTGTGCACTATGATACAGGATCATCTACAGAATCTAGAGCCAACCTCCAGGATCAAAACCCAGGAGATGCAGGTGGCCCCTGGAGTAGGCAGCTCCTGAACACAGCACTGGCAGCAGTTGCTCAAGGCATCAACCCCAGCAACACCACGCCACCCCACAACAAGGGGCAAAGTCTTCAGTCATTCTGGACCCAAAGGCCTGATGATGTACACCCCACAGATATTTAAATGTCTGCTGTGGCAGCACATCTGCCACTTTTCAACATTTTAGCAAACTTCCCTGGAAATCCCTAAAACAACGAATAGCTTAAAATAAGCCCTTTTCCCCAGACCGCTCCCATTAGCTAACTTCTGGTTTATTAGAAATCTTTGGCAACAAACAACTCTTCAGATAATTTATTCTCCCCTGCTCCAAAAGAAAGGTGGGAAGAGAGAGGACAGAGGATAGAATCCCATTACCCTGTCTGCTTTGTAGCAAGCGGAATAGACGTATCCCAGCAAACCAGCTAACACTACTCCCGGGTGGAAAGGAGACTCGACCCTTATAAACCTAATTCGCTTCTAATGTCCACCGAAACTTCAGCTGGAAAGGAATCATTTCTACTTCTGTAGCCAAGGACTCATCGCTGGGCCGACTAGTAGGAAACGCCACGGTGAACAACTCCCAGCGAAGCAAGGGGCTGGGGAAGAGGTTCTCCGCGGATCGGACTAGGAAATGCAGGAACGTGCGCTAGGCCCCAGCCCAGGAGGTTCAGCGCTTCCACGCACAGGAGGAAAGCGCCCTTCGACCGCGGACCGCGTGGCCAGGCTGGGAGGCTCCCCAGAGGCCCAGCCACCGCTTCCGGCCGCTCAGCTCCCTAGAGCTCCAGGCTGCTCTGGCGCTTGCTCCGGACCCGGGCCACCGCAGGACTGCAGGCCGCAATTGCCGACAAGACCCGCTGCGCTCCACGAGGAAGACCGTGGAAAACGCAGCTGCAGACCCAGAAACCATCGCAAATACCACGTTTGGAGGCGCCAAGCGCAAAAGCTTACCGGGTCGAGTGCCGGGCCAAGGATGATATTAATGGAGGCGCCCTGTGACCGAAGGACACCTGCCGCCTGTACTGCAGCCACCCTCCCCTCCAGTGCCCTGCAGCTGAAGTGGTCTCTTTACCACGAAGTCCTCTCGTGTGGCTCCAGGGCCTGGAAATCCTGGGGCGCCCATCAAAACCCTGAACAGTGCCCTTCCCGGCAGTGTCGGGGTCCCTTGGGGGTGAGATCCCGGACCCGCTGTTTGGAGGTCTGGCCGGGTGGCCACAGTCCCTGGCGGAGGCCAACGTGTGCGTGCTGGGAAAGCTCATCCAGCAGGCCACCATTTCTTACGATCTCTGCCTGATGGTGAGTCCTCGTCCGCCAGGAGTGTATTTTCAATACTAAAAGAACTGCTAAGCTCTGCCCTGCCTGCCATTTTCGAAATAATTACCTTTCTCTTCACGGGTGTTTCAGCTCAGCAACCCGCGATCTCTTCTACCCAAACCTCCGATCCCCAGAGGACTGGGAGGGCAGCACCGAGGACTGACTCCCACGAGTGCTCAGTGGCTGTGGCCTCACCGAGCACCCTGCTTGCTTGCTCTCTTTTCTCCAGAAAGAGAAGGAGGGATGAAGGCCCGAAAAAGAAACAGGAGCTGAAGAAAGAAAGAAGGAAGGAAGGAGGGAAAAGAGGTAGGTAAATAAGAAGGAAAGGAGTAAAGGAACAGAGAAAAAATAAGAAAACAAAACCACACCAAACCAGAGCAGAAGGGGGTGGGGGAGAGAAAGAGAAAGGGAAGGAGGAAGGAGGAGGAAGAGGAGAAGAAGGAGAAAGAGAAGGAGAGGAAAGAGACCGAAGAAAAAGAAGATGAAGAAGAATTGTTTTAAAATGGAAAGGAGGAGGAGAAAGAAGAGAGGAAAAGAAAAACAAAACTAAAATGGATTCACAAAGAAGAAAGAAAAGAAAGGATAGGAGGGAGGAAGGAAAGGAGGAGCAGAGCGTGAAGAAGGAAGAGAGAGAGCGTAAAACCTGCATGGACCAGCATGCCAACGCCAACTGGGGACCCCTGGTCCCTGGAACAATCCTTGGTTTGCCGCTGCTGCCCTGAGCCAAGAGATGGTTTGGTCGCCTGGGTCGTGGTGGCCCTGGCCCCTCTCCCTGAGTCTGGTCCCAGCTGAAGTCCCAGGCTTGGCCCTCCCAAGACACCCGAGTATTGGCTGGGAGACCTCGATGGCCCCCTCTGGGCCGGCTCCTGCCTGGGCCCAGGCTGCCTAACTCCCCGGAGTTCCAGGCTGCCCATCTGCGGCCTCACCTTCAGGGAAGACCATGCGCATCTTCAGGTAGCTCGTGGTGAGTCGTATGATGGACGCTTTGTCCAGCTGCGAAGTGATGGCCGATGGCAGCGGAAGCAGCTTGGCCAGCTCATAAAACTCGCCATTTTCCTTCTTCCTCCTGATTTTGGCCACATTCTTGGACTTCTCCTTCATCGCGCCTTGGCTCTGGGCATATTAGACTTGGCCGCGCTCCAGGCCCGCGGAGTCCCGCTCAGGCTGCAGCAGCTGGGACCAGGAAAGGGGACCCGGGGGCCAGGTGAATCCCGGGTGCCAGCCACGGATAGGCGCGCGGGACCAGTCTGGGCACCGAGGAACTTCTCCGCAGTTGCCAGCCCAGAGCTCAGTGCAAACCAGCTGCGCCGCCCCGTGCTCTGGCTGCGGCTGGAGCTGGACTGTTCTGCCGCGACCCGAGCCCTGCTTCCTGTTCACTCTTCTAGCCTCCTGTCTCCCCGGCCTCAGCTTTTCTTAGAGTATAAAGGTCCAGCAAAGAGGCGGTGGTGCAGTTTAGTCCTTAACCGGGTGTTGGCACTCGCTGCCGCGAGGCCCCTCCGATCTGGAGGGCGGCAGGGGCGGCGGCAGCTGCGGAGTCATGGAGCGGACCCGAGCCGAGGGGAGCTAGACCGAGACAGCTGGGCCGGACCCAGGCCTGGGCGCGCTCTCCTGCCCTCTCTGGTTGCTCCCTGTGCCTGAAGACCCCGCGCCGGAGTCCGCGATCTGTTGGGAGGCGCAGCTGCTCCGCAGTCCACGTGCGACCGAGCACCGTTTGTTTATGGCGGACCTCCTTCGGGCGGAGCACTGGGCAGCCAGGGCCGGGAAGGGGGGCAGGCAGGAGGAGGGACCGCAGCGGGGGCGGGGGCGGCGATACTCGCCTCCAACCCCGCCGCGGCCCTGGAGTCACGGGCGCTTCTCTGTGTCTCTACCTCCAGGGACTGTCCCAAGAAAGACGGGCGCACTCCCGGGCTCGGGCTCCAGGAGATCTCCGTGAATGAATGCTGCGCGGTGCGGAGACCAGCTCTGGAGAGCGAGTCGCGGGACGTGGGCATTAGGATGGGCTGCGGGGTGGGGCGAAGGAG